TTTCTCTTTATATGATATACTGTTGTTTCAAGTTACACTTCTTTACAACAAAAATAAAAGTTGGGCATGTAAAATAATTGAAAATTTGGGTATATAAATATTTTTACAAATGCAAATATGGCTATGAAATCTAAAATATAAAATAATTCAAATGTGGGTGTGTTGATATAAAACAATTTCAATGTGGGTTTTTAAATAATTACAAATTTTGATTCCTAAATCTTATAAATTAAATGATTCAAACCAATCATACTGTAGACATATTTCATTCTACATTCATAATATTCAATGTTGATATGGTAAATAATTATTATACCAAAATGTGGTTTATATAAATAGCAAATTATGATGATATACAAATCATTAATTTAACAGAAGAAAAATTTGTGTAATGTCATCTGTTGGAATATATTAAGTATTACACATGGACAGGATGTTCCCCATAAAATTAAGGTATTCCACACCCTAGAGTACACACAACTGTCAAATAGAAGTTATTGCTTTACCTGTAATCAGCCATACAACTTATCAGTTGACCGACCATGCCACTACAATTTAAAAAGTTTGTTGATAGATGAAAATAAAAATCATCATTTTGATGAAAAAAAATTGAATTTTCTTCATCAAAATTACGAAGTTAATTATTTTAACATAAAAAAAATTGAATAATTCCCAAAGATTAAAAGAAAATTATTATCTACTCCAGGAATAATAACAAAAATGTATTTATAATGGGTCTCATCAATGATTTCTATAGAAATCATCGGTCTTATGAAATGGTTCTCACGCAGACTTGCATAATATAGATCTAAACATTTTTTTCTTTTCAGGAAGGAGTTATCACAAATATTTATTTTTGATAAAAAATTATAAAATTCAACACTCAAATTTGAATAAAAAATGTTTTTGGGTTGTTCTAAAAAAAAGAATAAGGTTTTTGAATCAAGATGGGAACAAATTCTTTGACCTAAACGAAAGCCCCCCTCTTTTTTTAACCTCACAAACCCAAAAGATGAATTGTGGGGTCCAAAAGAGATACAAGACACCTATTTTAGTAAAGCAAATTTGACTGGCAGTTTTGCGAACAGCAAAAATCTAAATGCTGTTTGTCAATACCTTCGACTTATATTCCAAGTGAAAACAATTACTTAAATGTTTAATAAAAATAAATCAAAATTAAACTACATGGGGGATTATTCAGGGTATTCCAACTTAGTTGCACCAAAAGGGTATCTTACTATACCAAATTAATCCTTGATTCTTCAAAGTTTAGTTTAGCCATAATAAAAAGGAGTATACAACAGCAATAGAATGTCATAAAAAGTGTAGAATAAGTCTGTTTACATTTCAGGCGAAATTTATACTGTTGAGATAGTGTCAAGACATATTTAAGACTGTCAAGAATGTGTCGAGACATATTCAGACATTATTTAGAATGTCAAGAATATGTCGAGACATATTCAGACATTATTAAGAATTTCAAGAATATGTCAAGACAGATCGAGACAAATTTAAGACAGTCAAGAATTGGTCGAGACTAATCCAGACTCTTATCAGATGATACAGGAAGTGTCGAGAAATTTTAAGACAATGTTCATACTGTCAAGACACTTGTCAAGAAAAATCAAGAACCTTATTAGACAAATTCATACTATGTCAAGAATTTTTAAAAATTATTCAGACAAATTAAGAATGTCGAGTAAAAATTCATGCAAATTCAGACAAAAACTGGTCTTTTCAGACTTTTTGACATTTGTAGTGAAAGGATCGTAGGATGCAGTCACAGAAATAATTATTTGATAAGTACGTCTAAAGAAATGACAACTCTACGACAGATCCATCCATTGGATCACCAGTGAATATCTCAGTGGCGGATCCAGAAATTTTCATAAGGGGGGGGGGGGGGGGGGGGGGCACTGACTGCCTAAGAGGGGGCCCGCTCCAGTCATGCTTCAGTGATTCCCTATATAATCAACAAAATTTTTCCCACAAAAGGTGGGGCCCGGGCCCCCTGAAAAACCGTCTAAATCCGCCTCTGTATCTGTTTTCAACCGTGTATCACCTTCACCGGTGATCCAATGGATGGGTCTGTCATAGAGTTGTCACTTGTTTAGACGTACTTATATATTATATATATATATAAGGTATATAGTTTATCGGAATTAGGTGTAGAATACAAAATAAAAAAAAAAAACGCGTACTGAATATTTATACTGCATGTTGAATGTTAAACAAATACCTGGTACTGGAAGAACAGTAGAGCAGGGGAATCCATAATGTAAAAGTACGTCAAGTTTCAGCCAGGGTATATAATGTGACATTCACTGCTAAGGAAATATAAACCCCAAACAGGCAATGTACACTGCGACATTCACGGTTCAGGAAATATAAACCCTAATCAGGCAATGTACACTGTTACGTTTACGGCTCAGGGAATATGAACCCTAAACAGGCAATGTACACTGTGACGTTTACGGGTAAGGGAATATAAACCCGAATCAGGCAATGAACACTGTGACGTTCACGGCTCAGGGAATATAAACTCTAATCAGGCAATGTACACTCCGACGTTTACGGCTCAGGGGAAATAAACCCTGAACAGGCAATGTACACTGTGACGTTCGCGGCTCAGGGAACATAAACCCTTATCAGGCAATGTACACTGTGACGTTCACGGCTCAGCGAATATAAACCCTAATCATGCAATGTACACTGTGAAGTTCACGACTAATGGAATATAAACCCTAATCAGGCAATGTACACTTTGACGTTCACGGCTCAGGGAATATAAACCATAATCAGGCAATGTACACTGTAACGTTCACAGCTCAGGGAATATAAACCCTAATCAGGCAATGTACACTGTGACGTTCACGGCTAATGGAATATAAACCCTAATCAGGCAATGTACACTGTGACGTCCACGGCTCAGCGAATTTAAACCTTAATCAGGCAATGTACACTATGATGTTCACGGCTCAGGGAATATAAACCATAATCAGGCAATGTACACTTTGACGTTCACGGCTCAGGAAATATAAACCATAATCAGGTAGTGTACACTGATACGTTCACGGCTCAGGAAATAGAAACCCTAATCAGGCAATGTACACTGTAACGTTCACGGCTCAGAGAGTATAAACCCTAATCAGGCAATGAACACTGTGACGTTCACGGCTCAGGGAATATAAACTCTAATCAGGCAACGTATATTGTGACGTTCACGGCTAATGGAATATAAACCATAATCAGGCAATGTACACTTTGACTTTCACGGCTCAGGGAATATAAACCCTTATCAGGCAATGTACACTTTGACGTTCACGGCTCAGGGAATATAAACCCTAATCAGGCAATGTACACTGTGACGTTCACGGCTCAGGGAATATAAACTCTAATCAGGCAATGCATACTGTGACGTTCACGTCTCGGGGAATATAAACCCTAATCAGGCAATGTACACTTTGACGTTCATGGCTCAGGGAATATAAACCCTAATCAAGGCAATGTACACTTTGACGTTCACGTCTCGGGGAATATAAACCCTAATCAGGCAATGTCCACTGTGACGTTCACGGCTCAAAGAATATAAATCTTAACAGGCAATGTACCCTGTGACGTTCACGGCACAGGGAATATAAACCCTAAGCAGGCAATCTACACTTTGACGTTCACGGCTCAGAGAATATAAACCTTATCAGGCAATGTACACTGTGACGTTCACGGCTCATGGAATATAAACCCTTTCAGGCAATGTACACTGTGACGTTCACAGCTCAGGGAATATAAACCCTTATCAGGCAATGTACACTGTGATGTTTGCGGCTCAGGAAATATTAACTCTCATCAGGAAATGAACACTGTGACATCGACGGCTCAGGGAATATAAACCCTAATCAGGCAATGTACACTGTGGCGTTCACGGCTCAGAGAGTATAAACCCTTATCAGGCAATGTACACTGTGACGTTCACGGCTCAGGCAATAGAAACCCTAATCAGGCAATGTACACTGTGACGTTCACGGCTAATGGAATATAAACCCTAATCAGGCAATGTGGACTGTGACGTTCACTGCTAATGAAATATAAAACCTAATCAGGCAATGTACACTTTGACGTTCACGGCTAATGAAATATAAACCATAATCAGGCAATGTACACTTTGACGTTCACGGCTCAGGGAATATAAACCCTAAACAGGCAATGTACACCGTGACATTCACGGCTCAGGGAGTATAAACTATAATCAGGCAATGTACACGGTCTGAGACCTCAATAACATATAATATTCAAAATAGACATGTAATAAAAACTTATCATAGTAGGTGTTATATACATTCTTCTCAAATATAACAAGTATCATGTTAGTAAAGGCCAAAGTGCACCAGGAAAGTGAATTTTGACAAATATACAGAAAGGCACAATATGACCAAGAGATTGTACCTTCAGGAGAAATATCTACTTAATTTTTGTAGCCAATGCAGATGAGACAATATTATGTTGTGCTCTTATACCATAATAATTAGAAGGAGGAGGGGCACTTATTAAGCGCTCACAGACATGTTTAATCAACGCAACATTATTAGGGAACGACAAGTTGATATTTCGGGGGGAATTTTAAGGAGGAGGATAATAGATTTTTTCGGATAGAATATTCAGTTTCCCCTTTTTGCGAGTCTCGCTATTTTTTGTGCTCAGTTCGGGCTTTGATTACGCCCACTGCAGTAGAGGCAAAGTGGTGTTAACAAATTACTTGTTGCAGATTGTGTATTGAATATAAATCATTATGTGTCTTGTCCGAAATATTTGCAGATGGTCGTTAAGCAAATAAAAATAAATCAATTATTATTCATAATCCAAACTAATCTATAGTAAGAATTCAAAGAGTGTAAATATTCGAATTTTAGACATGATTTTGATATACTTTGGATCGATCCCTCTCTCTTGTATCACATTTAAAAATAGACAGTATGACTTTATAAATATTCTATTTATATCACGATTATACGATCAATACAACATGTACACAACACGTATATGTGTGTATTGTACGATAAGTGATATGTTCTGAAATGTATGTATATTTACTTTATCAATTGATTTATTTGTGTTTTAATGAAATAGTCATTATTTTTTTCTATAATCTTTCGTCTTTCTGCCTTACTCATGTATAATTCTGCTGGCAGTTGTACTATTTTTTCGGATGAAATACTTTTCTAATATTCACTTGACCAGTACACAGGTATTTATTTTAATATGATCCTGTATTTAGACATTATACATACACATGGAAGAATTATTTGTTTTTAAGATTCAGATATGGGTCATTTTCTAAAAATGTCAAATTTTCAGTACACCTATATGTTATTTTTATTTATTTTTTAATGGAAAATGCAATTGTAAGTGTTTTAAGTTTGTAGGAATTATGAGGGTAGGAATGCCCTTTACCGTCAGGCGTCAGACGGTCATTTTCGTCTACCGTTAGATTCAAATTGGTTAAGATATTATCGTGATTCGTCAAAATATCCTTATCGTGATTCGTCAGAGGTCTCAAATAATTATTAACCGTTACCGTTAAATGTTATGAAACTTATACACAATGCTTATTACCTCCAAATACAGATCAAGTTTGATTTTTTGTAGCATCACTCTAACCGTTCTAGAGTTATGCCCTTTATAAATGGAAAAATTGCAAAATTTTTAGTTTCCTATCTCTAACTTAAGTTTGCCTCTACCAAATGTTATGAAACTTATATACAATGCTAATTACCACAAACCACAGATCAAGTTTGAATTTGTGTAGCGTCACTCTAACTGTTTTAGAGTTATGCCCCTTTATAAATGGAAAAATTGCAAAATTATTAGTTTCCGTTCTCTAACTTAAGTTTGCCTCAACCAAATGTTATGAAACTTATACACAATGCTTATTACCACAAAACACAGATCAAGTTTGAATTTTGGTAGCGTCACTCTAACTGTTCTAGAGTTATGCCCCTTTATAAATGGAAAAATTGCAAATTTTTTAGTTTCCGTTCTCCATGGAAAATAAATAAAACGAACGAGACCGAAAGACGAACTTGGCAAACAACAATTTACAAAACACAACATAGAACACTGAAGACTGAGCAACACTGCAACACGAACCCGGCCAAAAACCGAGGGGTGATCTTGTATACTCTGGAAAGGTGAGCAGATCCTGCTCAACATGTGGCACCCGTCGTGTTGCTCATTCGATTAATCACATTCCGGGAAAAGTCGAAGGGATTGTAGTTACGAAAACTGGAACATATCCATCGTTATCATATCTGTGAAACGGATATTCCATAACGGTCAACCAGGTCGTGATGGCGTCCGTAAGTTTTACTAAGGGATGACTTAAACTTCACCACTTGGAACTCTTGGTGTAATAGCTTCATTTTGAGCAGCAATCTTCTATCAAGGAAATCATGATAGAAAACGCATGCATTGGAATATCATTTGAACTGGGATGTATATATTCAAATTGAAGGCGCTGCTGGAATGTTACTACATAGAAATGGAAAGTTTACAATTGAGAAGCTGAAATCATCTCTTTTGTCATTACGTTTTGTTCTCAACCGATCGACCCTCATTGTCAATTTCTGGATGTAAGTCAAGATATGAGGCAGACTTAACTGTATCTGTTGTATCCTTTCTTTCAAGTTCGATGTGATAAATACGTTCAACATATTTACCAAACTTTGAATTGTTTAGTGAGAGGACATCAGCTATATAGCAGAGTAAAGTTAAGGATAGTGCTAGCTTTTTTTTCATTTTTCTGTATGAAGTCAGCTTCATATGAATAAAGGATTAAGTCGGCAAGAAGAGGAAGTTTGTTCCCTTACGATTGCCCATTGTTTGTTGAAAAATGCGTTCTCCAAACGTAACAAATATGTTGTCAATCAAGAAACGAAGCATCTTGATAGTGCCAGTTTCAGAGAATGTTTTGAATACCAGAACGGTAAAACCTATTAAGACTTACCAATTGGTATTTGCTACTTTACCGTCAAGCACGAGACATATAATGTACCTGTTGAAAATTCTACTCACTAGTCAGTTTTTTGTTAGTGATATAAAGGAACACGAGAGAACTTGTTAAGAAGTCACATCAAATGTAGTATTGTAAAATAAAAGTTTTAATACATGTAATATGTGGAAACCTTACCGTACCGTTCGGTAAAATATCTCCAATTGGATAACCGAAAGTAAATATCGATGTAATAACATATTCATTAACCCATGTGCGAACAACATTTAAAGGTTGCAATTTTTGTCCTAGTCCTTATCAGAAACCCTAAAAGATTCTAAATTAGATATGTCGGTATAATTCAAATGATAAGGTATCATATAGTTTGTTTTCAGTGGGTCACAATTTTAAAAACAGATATATTTACTTCCCAGATTCAAACAATTGTTAATTTATAAATTTCTGATAACTACTTCAATTAAAATAGCTAAAACAAGAGAAAATCTTGTTGGAAAAGATTAAAGTCTCGAAGTAGCGGGGTCATTTATTAGATACCCTGTCGGGTCAAACAAAAAACTTGAAAATTAGTGTAAAGAGAAACGACTGGTCAGCTCGGAGGCAGAAAATATAGGGGTAGGATGACAATGTCATCCCGTTGACTGTAGTATAAATCAGGGTTCATAACCATATCTCATTAACATATCCTGACGTGCAATTCTGAAGTGTTTGTCATGAACAAAAGTACTTTTTGACTGTTTAAACAAAAGTTTGTAACATTAGAGCTTTCGAATTATGTGCTTCAGAGGTGACATTCGATTTAATTGAAGTTTTCACAATTTTTGGTCCGCCCGATAAACTGCAAAGTGACAATGATCGTGAATTTACAGCTTTGGTTATATCCGAGTTAAAACTATTAAAGTGGCCAGAACTAGTGACTTTATTTCAGGTAGTTGACATTTTAAACTTCAGTTCTTATCATGTTATAATGTACCAATGTATGTTAACTTTGATAAAATGTCTTTTTAATATTTACTTGCATTTACATTTTACACATTAAGATTAATGCCTGGACACATTTTTCAGGATTTAAGCTTAAATCCTAGGATTTAAGAATAATGCCTAACATCATTTAGGCAACAGACTTACTGCCTAGGCATTAGCTTATTGCCTAGGATTTAAGCTTAATGCCTAATTTCACTTATTGCCGCTAACATATACAGTAAAAGTTAGTTTGTACGTAGCAAGAGACTAAGGCAAGTCCTATACATTTAATCTGTAAACAAACTACCAGCAAAATCAAATTAAACATTGTTTTAATCATGAAAATTCGATTTAACAACGGACCGAGAATAACATGTCTACTAATAGTTTTCAAATTCAGTCATTGACATGTATGCTAATGATACAACACTTCATACCCATAGTATAAATAAGGAAGAGATAGAGAGAAAACTAAACCATGATGCCAACGCTATAAATAATTGGTGTTTAAACAACAAAATGGTAATAAATCCTTTAAAAACAACTTCTATGCTGGTTAGAACGAATCAAACACGAGCTTTGATAGGTCATTAACTAAATATATCAATACAAGATAACCCAATAATATCTGTAACAAAAGCTTCTAGGTATATATATTGACAAAAAATTGGACTGGAAATTTCAAATTGATCATGTATGTAAAAAGCATAAGTTCTCGTATTGCACTGTTATCCAGAACTAAGAAATATCTAGATATGAGTAGTAGAAAATTATTTTATAATGCTTATATTCTGCCCATATTTGATTTTTGTTGCTCAATATGGGGAAATTGTGATGCAGAAAAGAGCTGCCAGAATTAGACTGGATGCACCGGTACTTTTAAAAGAAAATTAGTCGATTTTTATGCCCCCGCCGTTGTGGACTCGGCATTAAGTTTTACCCTTGTCCGTCTGTACGTCAATCCGTCCGTCCGTCCGTACGTCCCAAAATTGGTTTCCGTTCTCTAACTTTAGTTTGCCTCAACTAAATGTTATGAAACTTATCCACAATGATTATTATAACAAAAAACAGTTCGAGTTTGAATTTTAATGGCATCACTTTTACCGTTTGAGAGTTATGCCCCTTTATAAATGGAAACATTGCTGATTTTTTCGTTTCCGTTCTCTAACTTTAGTTTGCCTCAACCAAATGTTATGAAACTTATGCACAATGTTAATTACCACAAAACACAGATCAAGTTTGAATTTTGGTGGCGTCACTTTTACCGTTCTAAAGTTATGCCCCTTTACAAATGGAAAAATTGCTGAAATATTAGTATTTGTTCTCTAACTTTAGTTTGCCTCAACCAAATGTTATGAAACTTATGCACAATGGTAATTACCACAATACACAGATCAAGTTTGAATTTTGTTGACGTCACTTTTACCGTTCTAGAGTTATGCCCCTTTACAAATCTCAAAATTGTTGAAATATTTGTTTCTGTTCTCTAACTTTAGTTTGCTTCAACCAAATGTTATGAAACTTATGCACAATGCTAATTACCACAAAGCACAGATATAGATTGAATTTTGGTGGCGTCACTTCTACGGTTCTAAAGTTATGCCCTTTTAAAATTGAAAAAATTGCTGAATTTTTCGTTTCTGTTCTCTAATTTAAGTTTACTTCAACTAAATGTTATGAAACTAATAAACAATGCTTATTACCACAAAACTCAGATCAAGTTCAAATTTCGGTAATGTCACTTTTACAGTTCTTGAGTTATGGCCCTTTGTAACGTTATATGCAAGTGGGGGCATCATCTGTATCCGATGGACACATTCCCCATTTATTTAACTATAAATGAAATGTAACAACTAAGTAACTCTATCATGTCTTTTTAATGTTTGTGTATAATGTATAATTTTGTTTTTCTTGTTCTTCAGACAATCATTTAGCGTGAAAGTTTAATTATATGTTCAAAAATTGTAATATTTGTAATACTTGTTCTTTATGTTTTTTGTGAGGGCCTCAAGGTAGATTAGTGAATGCTAATTGAGTCAACCTCTTTAAATAAAGTTATTATTTAATTTATTATTATTATTATTATTATTATTATTATTATTATTATTATTATGTTCCTTTAAATTTAAGTTAAGTTTATCATATTACATCCACTTCATTTGAACGATAGTTGTCTCATTGTCAATCATCTCGTACTTACACTGCAAACATAAAATCCTAATTCATTACATGTTGTTATAAATTTTCAGGTCAGATAACGTTCAAATATTGGTTGTAGGCGATGGCGGTGTTGGAAAAACATCACTTCTCATTACATATGTTACCGACTCCTTTCCTCACCCGTATATTCCATCTTTAGCAGATTTTTACGACCCGGTCATTAGAAAAGTGGAAGGACAGAATATTAGGTTAACATTAATGGACACAGGCGGTGGTGTAAGTATGGTCACATTTAACACACGCGGTGGTGTAAGTATGGTTACATTTAATATAATGGGACACACGCGGTTGTGTAAGTATGGTTATATTTAATATAATGGGACACAGGCGGTGGTGTAAGTATGGTTACATTTAATAAAATGGGACACACACGGTTGTGTACGTATGGTTATATTTAATATAATGGGACACACACGGTTGTGTAAGTATGGTTACATTTAATATAATGGGACACACGCGGTTGTGTAAGTATGGTTATATTTAATATAATGGGACACAGGCGGTGGTGTAAGTATGCTCACATTAATTATAATGGGACACACGCGGTGGTGTTAGTATGGTTACAGTTAATATAATGGGACACACACGGTTGTGTCAGTAAGGTTATATTTGATATAATAGGACACAGGTGGTGGTGTAAGTATGCTCACATTAATTATAATGGGACACACGCGGTGGTGTAAGTATGGTTACATTTAATATAATGGGACACACACGGTTGTGTAAGTATGGTTATATTTAATATAATGGGACACAGGCGGTGGTGTAAGTATGGTTACATTTAATAAAATGGGACACACACGGTTGTGTAAGTATGGTTATATTTAATATAATGGGACACACTCGGTTGTGTAAGTATGGTTACATTTAATATAATGGGACACACGCGGTGGTGTAAGTATGGTTACATTTAATATAATGGGACACACATGGTTGTGTAAGTATGGTTACATTTAATTTAATGGGACACAGGCGGTGGTGTAAGTATGGTCACATTTAATATAATTGGACACACTAGGTGGTGTAAGTATGCTAACATTTATTATAATGGGACACACGCGGTGGTGTAAGAGTGATCACATTTAATATAATGGGACACACTCAGTGGTGTAAGTATGGTCACATTTAACATTATGGGACACACGCGGCGGTGTAAGTATGATCACATTTAGTATAATGGACACAAGTGGCGGTATAAATATGGTCACATTTAATTTAATGGACACAGGCGGTGGTGTAAGTGTTGTCACATTTAACATAATGGGACACATGCGGTGGTGTAAGTATGGTCACAATTAACATTAAGGGACACAGGCGGCAGTGTAAGTATGGTCACATTTAATATAATGGACACAGGCGGCGGTGTAAGTATGGTCACATTTAATATAATGGGACACAGGCGGCAGTGTAAGTATGGTCACATTTAACATTATGGGACACACGTTGTGGTGTAAGTATAGTCACATTTAACATAATGGGACACACGCAGTAGTGTAAGTATGGTTACATTTAATATTATGGGACACAGGCGGCGGTGTAAGTATGGTTACATTTAATATTATTGGACACCGGCGGCGGTGTAAGTTTGGTTACATTTAATATTATGGGACACAGACGGCAGTATGGTTACATTACGAAAAACTCTAATCATTTGAAATGAGGATTTACCAGTGAGACTTTGCGTCCTCATTATTAGATTGATGATAATACGCTTCGATAATTCTAGTAGTTAAAGGTTTTGAAAGTATTTTATCTAAGAACTAAAAAGTTTGATGTAAACTATATTGCACATTTTGCAAAAGAGTAATTATGTTGATATAAAGTTATCTATATGTATGTACGACTCTAAAATGCGATGGTACTCTAAAATGTGATGGTATAACAAGCTAAAGTGCAATGGTACTCTAAAGTGTGATGGTATAGCACGCTAAAGTGCAATGGTACTCTAAAGTGTGATGGTATAACACGCTAAAATGCAACGGTTATTTTGTTGATTCATGAGAATACGATGATATGACACGATAAAGTGCTATATCACTAAAGTGTGGCAGTTAGACCCACTAATTTAAAAGTACTACTATGGTCACGTGGCATTGGACATTTTGCTAGGATATGATGGTATATCATTCATGATGGTTCTGCTTCTTGATGCAGGTCGTCATGAGAGTAAATGATATGAATTTCATTATTTAAAATGTGTTCCTGAATTTTATTCTTGCGGGGTGAATACTTTGATAATCTATGAAGTTTGCTATTCTTACAGTCTCTAACAGTGAACATCTTTCTCTTACTATCGTCAATTTCAATGTTAACTATGAGACCCTTTTTCTATCATATATTAAGTCTTTGACAGTAATTAGGTATTACTTGTTGTGTTGATTTGGATAGAATGTTAAACCTAAATCATGCTCCTCGAATCCAAGAAATGGAAACTATTATACAAAAATGATCAAACAGTCGCTTACCCCATTTGGTAATATAACTATTATAAAGTCTTTAACCATCTCAAAATTGAGTCATCTGTTCCTATTCATCCAAAGTCCAGATGACAATGTACTACGTCAACTCAATAGTAAAATGTATGCATTCGGTTGGGATGGTAAACCTGACAAGGTAAATGGGGAGCTTTTATGTCAAGAAAGCTGCAGAGGGGGTTTAAAAATGATTAATTTGAGAAATATTAAGGGCTAAAATTGACTTGGGTTAGAAGATTATTTAATTCAAATTCAAAGTGGATTCAATTATTTACTTCTACACAAAATATAAATTTTACAGAGTACAGAGGCTTATTTTGGAACAACCAAAGAATTAGATAACCACAGGCACAACATGGACTGTATTATATTTGATTCAAAAAGGTCGTTATAAAGAAAGGAAGCGGAACATCGCAGCTATGTTAAAATTACACTCAATTTCCGCGGACCATACATGAAATGCCTAGGTACAGTCTTTGTTTCGTATGAATTATTCAACAAAGAGCGTTAGATAGGGTATAAAGTGTACGGATAAAATTATCAAATTTGTTCCATTCTATGATACACGAAGGAATAAATGAAGAATTTGTTAAGGACAGTATACAAAGGGGGTATATAAAGTCATTGCCATTCCGCAGTGGATAAATAGTTGTACTTTGTATAGTTGGGGGAATTAAATCACACAAATATTGTTTTACTACGGGAAAATAAAATCTCTTAAGTTTCTCATGAATACATGTAACATCAATTTAACGGTGGTCCACTTTGTTATTCTTTTATCAGTTATCTTTTTTATACTTCTCTCCCATAAGTAAATTTAATGCTTTTTCAATTCTTTTGGCACCCAAGATGTTTTGAATACATTTCAGCTTACAATGTACAAATGAACATCAAATTTTCCATTACAGAGAAAAAATGTTCCGGATTTGTGTAATTTTTTCTCTTCTCTTTTTCTCTTTTTATCAATCACAAATCCTTCATTCGAATAACGTTTTCTTAGTACTTCTTAGTACGGCAAGTCCATGTTTACTTGTTTATACGGCCGTTAATGGCATAATGCAGGTCTGCAGACGAACTCACTTAGCGCAATGAGCCTCCAGGCTTTAATATAGACTATTGAAAAGCATATCCCCATCGTACTTTAGCGTGTTAAACTATCGTACTTTAGTTCATGCAATCGTACTTTAGTTTGATCATCGCATTTAAGCGCCGCCACTATCGCACTTTGGAACTCTAAATTTATACATATCATAACAATTAGATATGGTATAATTGCCAATGAGACAACTTTCCACCAGAGGACATATGACGTAGATAGTAGCAACTATAAGTAACTGTATGGCCTCCAAAATGAGCAATACCCATACCTGTACCATCAGAGATATGATTAACCATCAGATATATGACTAACCGTCAGAGATAATGAATAACCATCAGAAATATGACTAACCATCAGAGATATGACTAACTATCAAAGATATGACTAATCATCAGAGATATGATTAATCATCAGATATATGACTCATCATCAGAGATATGACTAATCATCAGATATATGATCAACATCAGAGATATGACCAACCACCAGAGATTTGACTTATCATTAGAAATATGATTAATCATAAGATATATGACTAATCATCAGAGATATGACTAATCATCAGAGATATGAGTAACCATTAGAGATATGACTAACCATCAGAAATATGACTAATCATCAGAGATATGACTCATCATCAGAGATATGACTAATCATCAGATATATGATAAACATCAGAGATATGACCAACCACCAGAGATTTGACTTATCATTAGATATATGATTAATCATCAGATATATGACTAACATTACGAGATATGATTTACCATCAGATATATAACTAATCATCAGAGATATGACAAGTCATCAGAGATATGACTTACCATCAGACATATGACTAACCATCAGAGATATGACTTACCATCAGAGATATGACTAATCGTCAGACATATGACTAACCATAAGAGATATGACTAACAATCAGAGATATGACTAATCATCAGAGATATGACAAATCATCAGATATATGACTCACCATCAGAGATATAACTAACCATCAGAGATATGATTAATCATCAGATATATGACTAACCTTACGAGATATGATTTACCATCAGATATATAACTAATCATCAGAGATATGACAAGTTATCAGAGATATGACTTACCATCAGACATATGACTAACCATAAGAGATATGACTAACAATCAGAGATATGACTAATCATCAGAGATATGACAAATCATCAGATATATGACTCACCATCAGAGATATGACTGACCATCAGAGATAGGACTTCATCAGAGTTATGAATAACCATCATAGATATAACTCACCATCATAGGTATGACTAACCATTAGATATATGACTTACCATCGGAGATATGACTAACCATCATAGATGTGACTCACCATCATATATATGACTACATCAGAGATATGACTTACCATCATAGATATGACTAACCATCATAGATATGACTAACCATCATAGATATGACTAATATTCATAGATATGAATAACCATTAGAAATATGACTAATCATCAGATATATGATAATCATCAGAGGTATGACCAACCACCAGAGATTTGACTTATCATCAGAAATATAATTAATCATCAGATATATAACTAACCTTACGAGATATGATTTACCATCAGCTATATAACTAATCATCAGAGATATGACTAATCATCAGATATATGATCAACATCAGAGATATGACCAACCACCAGAGATTTGACTTATCATTAGAAATATGATTAATCATCAGATATATGACTCATCATCATATATATGACTAATCATCAGATATATGATAAACATCAGAGATATGACCAACCACCAGAGATTTGACTTATCATTAGAAATATGATTAATCATCAGATATATGACTAACATTACGAGATATGATTTACCATCAGATATATAACTAATCATCAGAGATATGACAAGTCATCAGAGATATGACTTACCATCAGACATATGACTAACCATCAGAGATATGACTTACCATCAGAGATATGACTAATCGTCAGACATATGACTAACCATAAGAGATATGACTAACAATCAGAGATATGATTAATCATCAGATATATGACTAACCTAACGAGATATGATTTACCATCAGATATATAACTAATCATCAGAGATATGACAAGTCATCAGAGATATGACTTACCATCAGACATATGACTAACCATCAGAGATATGACTTACCATCAGAGATATGACTAATCTTCAGACATATGACTAACTATAAGAGATATGACTAACAATCAGAGATATGACTAATCATCAGAGATATGACAAATCATCAGATATATGACTCACCATCAGAGATATGACTGACCATCAGAGATAGGACTTCATCAGAGTTATGAATAACCATCATAGATATAACTCACCATCATAGGTATGACTAACCATCAGATATATGACTTACCATCGGAGATATGACTAACCATCATAGATGTGACTCACCATCATATATATGACTACATCAGAGATATGACTTACCATCATAGATATGACTAACCATCATAGATATGACTAATATTCATAGATATGACTAACCATTAGAAATATGACTAATCATCAGATATATGATAAACATCAGAGGTATGACCAACCACCAGAGATTTGACTTATCATCAGAAATATAATTAATCATCAGATATATAACTAACCTTACGAGATATGATTTACCATCAGCTATATAACTAATCATCAGAGATATGACTAATCATCAGATATATGATAAACATCAGAGATATGACCAACCACCAGAGATTTGACTTATCATTAGAAATATGATTAATCATCAGATATATGACTCATCATCAGAGATATGACTAATCATCAGATATATGATAAACATCAGAGATATGACCAACCACCAGAGATTTGACTTATCATTAGAAATATGATTAATCATCAGATATATGACTAACATTACGAGATATGATTTACCATCAGATATATAACTAATCATCAGAGATATGACAAGTCATCAGAGATATGACTTACCATCAGACATATGACTAACCATCAGAGATATGACTTACCATCAGAGATATGACTAATCGTCAGACATATGACTAACCATAAGAGATATGACTAACAATCAGAGATATGACTAATCATCAGAGATATGACAAATCATCAGATATATGACTCACCATCAGAGATATAACTAACCATCAGAGATATGATTAATCATCAGATATATGACTAACCTTACGAGATATGATTTACCATCAGATATATAACTAATCATCAGAGATATGACAAGTCATCAGAGATATGACTTACCATCAGACATATGACTAACCATCAGAGATATGACTTACCATCAGAGATATGACTAATCGTCAGACATGTGACTAACCATAAGAGATATGACTAACAATCAGAGATATGACTAATCATCAGAGATATGACAAATCATCAGATATATGACTCACCATCAGAGATATGACTGACCATCAGAGATATGACTTCATCAGAGTTATGAATAACCATCATAGATATAACTCACCATCATAGGTATGACTAACCATCAGATATATGACTTACCATCGGAGATATGACTAACCATCATAGATGTGACTCACCATCATATATATGACTACATCAGAGATATGACTTACCATCATAGATATAACTAACCATCATAGATATGACTAATATTCATAGATATGACTAACCATTAGAAATATGACTAATCATCAGATATATGATAAACATCAGAGGTATGACCAACCACCAGAGATTTGACTTATCATCAGAAATATAATTAATCATCAGATATATAACTAACCTTACGAGATATGATTTACCATCAGCTATATAACTAATCATCAGAGATATGACTAACCATCAGCTATGTAACTAATCAGCAGAGATATGACAAGTCATCAGAGATATGACTAACCATCAGACATATGACTACATCAGAGATATGACTAACCATCATAGATATGACTCACCATCATATATGTGACTACTTCAGAGATATGACTAACCATCATAGATATGATTAACATTCATAGATATGACTAACCATCAGAAATATGACTTACCATCAGAGATATGACTAATCATCAGAAATATGACTTACCATCAGATATATGACTAACATCAGAGATATGACTAATCGTCAGAGATATGAGTAATCATAAGAGATATGACAAACCCCTTAGAAATATGACTCATCATCAGATATATGATCAACATCAGATATATGACCAACCACCAGAGATTTGACTTATCATCAGAAATATGATTAATCATCAGATATTTGACTAACCTTAAGTGATATGATCAACCATCAGATATATGACTAACCGGCAGAGATAATGAATAACCATCAGAAATATGACTAACCCTCAGAGATATGACTAACTATCAAAGATATGACTAATCATCAGAGATATGACTAATCATCAGAGATATGACTCACCATCAGAGATATGACTAATCATCAGAGATATAACTAACCCTCAGAAATATGAGAAATCACCAGATATAAGATAAACATCAGAGATTTGACTTATCATCAGAAATATGATTAATCATCAGCTTTATGACTAACCTTAAGAGATATGATTAACCATCAGAGATATGACTTACCATCCTACATATTTCAATCATCAGAGATATGAGTAATCATCAGATATATGACTAATCATCAGAAATATGACTAATCATCAGAGATATGACTAATCATCAGAGATATGACTAACCATCATAGATATGACTAATCATCAGAGATATGACTTACCATCAGAGATATGACCAACCATCAGAGATATGACTAACTATCAGAGATATGACTAATGATCAGCGATATGACTTACCATCAGAGATATGACTAACCATCAGAAATATGACTCACCATCAGAGATATGACTACATCAGAGATATGACTTACCATCAGATATATGACTCACCATCAGATATATGACTAACCATCAGAGATATGACTTACCATCAGAGGTATGACTCATCATCAGATATATGACTAACCATCAGAGATATTACTAACCATCACATATATGACTCATCATTAGCGATATGAATTACCATCAGAGAGATTACTAACCATCAGAAATATGACTAACCAATTCTTTGATTTATTTCAGGAAGATTACGATCGACTCCGACCTTTAAGCTACTATGGAAGAGATATCATATTGCTGTGTTTTGACATTAGAAATGAGTCAACACTTCTTCGTGTGAAAGAAAAATATATACCTGATCTTGATTACCATGTACCTACCATTCCTCGAATACTTGTAGGCTGTAAATCAGGTAATGTATACATGATATACACAAACATGTATGAATCATTCCTCAAGTACCCGTATACTGTGACATAGGTAATATATACCTGCTCTTTAAAAGTAAATCATCAAAGATACCAGCTTGCTTTTAATTTTAGTACGCCAAACGTGCGTTTCCTCTAGATAAGATTCATCAGTGGTGCTCAAATCAAAACAGTTGAAAATCCAAATAAACAACGAAATTGGAAAACATTAAAAACCCAAATATTTGAAAAAAAAGTTCCAAAATCACACGAAAGTTATGTATGCCAATGGTGAGAAAACCTTAATGCTTCGAATGCTTTAAGTATTTTATAAACAGTTATTTTAGAGAAAATTACTCTACCAATAATGTTTCATGTCGGCGCAGGATTCCTAACTACTGTGCTGGTGATACCTTCACAGACTTTAATTTAATTTATTGAAATTTTTGTAGATCTTCGGATAACAGAACCGAATTCGTGTGTTGATAAAGATCAAACAGAAAGGTCTGCAAATGCATTGGGACTGCATTATTTTGAAACTAGTTCAATAAAGGGACATGGGCTGCAAACGTGCTTTGACAAAGCTGTATGTAATTTAGTATAACTTAGTATCATTGTTATTCTTGAGACACTGATTCTACCCCTCTCCCTTTCATCGGTAAGGAAAATATTGCCCTTACCGGTGTTTGGGGGAAGGGCTGTAATATTTGTCTTTCTTCTTGAGACGGCTAAAATATGGGTATATGTATGACAAATTCTTGAATGGAATAACTATTTACCAAATAATTTTGTTGGGGAATTTTTGTTATTTCCCTCTTTATGGGGAATAGTTAGAGAACGATTCACAAACTAGGCAAAGAAAAACAACAAAAGAAAGGAAAACACAGTAAATCGGAATTCAGGTCTAGATAATTATTTACAAACAAGACAACGGTAAAACATATCAGAGTACTGCAGACTGTGTGTGGTTATAGAAAGAAGCGGTGTGTATTCATATCTCACTCACATATTATTGTCTGAATATGCATGTTATATTTCCCGTTAAGCATTATAAAGCCATCAATCAATCAAGAAATCTTTTAGAAAAAATAATAATGTTTATTTACAATATAGATGCGTTTAGGTCTAGACTACAGTAGATTGCCCAAGAAGAAAAAACAAGAATTTTACAAAAGACCCCCTAAGAAGATGATTGCTCCTGTAAAACCCATTAAAGGTAACCTTATATTTAAAACATAAATATGATAAAATTTGAACGATTTTTAAATACATTAAAGAATGTGCATACGAATTTTGAGAGGGATAGAAGATGCAGAACTGACTGCATTAGTTGAATGATTAATTGATTGGTGTTGAATGCCTCTTTCAGCACTGTTGCGTTATTTCATGGTTGTAAGTTTTTATTGGTAGGAAAACTGACACTCCTAGTCAATTAAGATTGGAGTCGAGCGCACCTACCACGTGCGGCTGAATGTATAAATGGTTGAACATAAATCTGAATGCATTAAAAGTCGTTTTTTATCATTTTTAACCGGATTTTCGAAGGAAAAATCGGTAATTGATTTGGGGATGTACTGCGGGCGGATTTTGATATGTTGTTTCCTGTGACTAAATGAAGGTCAAGTTCAATTTTCCCGATTTTAGCTTCTCTCGTTTAATATATACTTATTATATGATTGCGGTATTTCCCTTTGAACATAAATTGTGATTTGCAAATATTATTTCATTTAAGAATTGAATGCTTCTTTTTGTATCTTCATTGGGGTGTAAAAGTGTTGACCGAAGTACATTTTGTATGAAGCGCGGAAGCGCTTCATTCTAAAAACTAAAAATGTGCGCACGGTCAACGCTTTTACAACCCTATGAAGTTACAAAAAGAAGCATTTAATACTTATAATTACATTTTTTAGCTAGGATCATGAAATCACGTTTTTATCAAGTTTTTATTTAATTTACCTGTGCACTTTATTTGGGACCTCGTGTCATCATGAATGATAAATTTCATTGTGTAATGAAGTTGATTAAGGAATAACGCGAGATTGCAGTTAGCCAATCAGAATAACGTATTATAATGAAACGTACATCTAATGAAATTATAAGTTAATAATCTATTTTTATTAAAGGATATATTTCATTACATTACATTGTGTAGATAAGTTGTTGACATTGATAGATAAGTTGCAGATCTATATTAGTTTGTGACAAATGAAAGAAAAAATATAGGGAACTATTAATTATATATATAAAGTTTGATTACAAGTGTTTTTAAATAATTTTCACCTGTTAATAGATAACAAAACATCTGGTAAATATCGTATCACACAATTATAATTGGAATGACAGATTTATTTGAAAATTTTTTGTTTCCTAAGTGTTGATGATAAGATCTGTAGGACAGTATAAATAAAGTTTGAAATTTACTGTTCATTATTAGACATTTTGAAGATAATTACAGATAACTTTTATAGATTTTTAATTGATTATAATTTGAAAATTGATATAACATCGTATCTAATTTTAGAAAACTATTTTTTAGTGGTTAAATCATAGCTAATTTTAGAGAACTATTTGTATATTATTTATTCAGTTTGAGTTATTTCCCTTTGAACAGAAATTTATATAAATTCATAAAGTATATGGATAAAATTAAACTGTGTTTCATTTCAACATAAATTAAATATATATAGGGTTCTTTCAAATGCTGAATCTAAACCTGTATTTAAATATTGGATTTTGGGGCCCAGTTTTAAAGTTGGTCCAAATCAGGGTCCAAAATTAAACTTTGTTTGATTTCAACAAAAATTGAATTTATGGGGTTCTTTGAAATGCTGAATCTAACCATGTATTTAGAAATTTTGGATTTTGAGTTCCTTTATCAAACTGGTCCACCCTGAGGTCCAAAGGGTCATAAATTAAACTTTTGTTTGATTTCATCAAACATTGAATTCTTGGGGTCCTTTGATATGCTGATTCTAACAATGTACTTAGATTTTTTATATTGGACCATGATAGGTAAATGTCCAATTTCCAATTTTTCAGTTTTTCGACCACATTCATTTTGTGATACAAACCTATGCTGTGTCAAATATTCAATCACAATCCAAATTCAGAGCTGTTTTAAGCTTGAATGTAGTGTCCATACTTGCTCAACTGTTCAGGGTTCGACCTCTGCAGGAAATCCGGTTTGCTGTCACTCTGACAGCCTCTTGTTTATCCATGGTTTTGTGTGTTTTTTGTTGGACCTATAATTGTTTATTGTTCTTTCGATTTCCTCCCATTCGTTTAAAAGAAATATGGATTAAATAGGGTATAGGGTAAAATAGTCCCTGCTCATTTAACTGGTTGTGAATCGGCTTTGCCAGTATGCACTTTCTATGATACGCGACATTATAATTACAGAGATTGACAGGGTCGACAGGTTGACAAGGATAAACAGGTTGACAGGATCGATAGGTTGACAGGGTTGACACAGTAAAAAAGTTGAAAGGGGTCGACAGGTTGATAGGGTTGACAAGTAGAGTTGACACGGTTGACAGGGTTGACAAGGTCGACAGGGTTGACATATACGACTTTTAAGTTTAGTGTGACTGTTTTTAAAATATTAAGAACTACAAACGTCAGCTGAAAACTACAATCTAATTATTATATTTAAAGACTATAATATGGCAAATATTGTATAACATTGAAGTTGTGTCTATACTTTCACCTTATCTTTAAGTGAAACCCTTTCACCCTTGTCAATCATGTCTAGCCTTGTAATCCCTATCATCTTTGTCGCTATCAACCCTGTCGACCCAGTCAATCCTGTAAACCAGTCGTCCCAGTCAACATGTCGATCCAGTCAGCTGTCGTCCTAGTCAACCTGTCAACCCTGTCAACCCGACAACCCGTCAACCTGGTCATTCCATCGACTTTTGCAACCAGAAGGCCCATCTCTGAAAAATGTGCATAAGATCAGATATGAATGATGTCACATTACAAGAAGAGATGAAGATGGATTTAGAGGAGGAATCTGCAACCAATGTTGCCCGTTTACCCACGAGAGAAACGATAATCGAAAACCTCGATCTGACACTGACTTCATGTTTTACTGATTTAGTGATAATTACTGTTAAATAACATGCTTATCTCTAGAGTAACTTTTTATTTATCCACTGATGTTACAAACGCTTACTTATAATTGGTTATTCCAGAGACATGTAGATTAAAATTTAAAGGTCTCTGGTTAATTCTGAATGATTAACTTTTCTCTGTGAAAAAGCCCACATCCTTACTACAACGCATACAACATGTATTTACGAATGTTGTATACAAAAACGGGTTTGGGAATGAATTAATGATTCTTTGGGATATTTCAAAATAGTTTCAGGGATACGGGATATTTGTAAAAAAATATTTATTGGGATATTAGAGGTAAACATTATAGGGATATGGGATATTGGGACAAAAACTTAATGGGATATGGGATATTAATACCCCCCCTAAACAAGCCTCATCTCTATGTCTAAATATACTATAAAATCTCTTTAAGATAAGTGGCGTAGTAATCTAATGTGATATTCCGGAACTATTTTCCCTATACCCTACTTAAGCCATAAATATGAGATAAACAATGACATTATAAAATCAAAGACCATTAATAGTTAAATTATATGTGTTGTGCCACAAGAAGTGATATCTAACGCCTGGGAAGTGTATAAATATATTTCTCTAATTCTTCGTCAATTTATCCCTTTCTGCACCCATTGTATAAAAAAAATTTAATCAACGTGTGGTTCGTTTGATCTCAGTTCTTCATTGGTTAAAATCCGATTATGACGTCGAATTTTCTTGCTTTCCTCTGAATTTCCTATTGTGACGGCATGAAAAAAGGCGACCATGCCTGATGACGTCACATAGAAAGAACACATCTTTTTGCAGATCTTTCGAAGAGAAGGGATAAATTTGCCTGCGTATTGTTTGAAAATCATTAGAGAAACAGATTCCACCACCAAATTTCGTGTAATACGATATTTATCCACTCTCGACAGTTAAATTTTAAATATTTAAAACGCTCGGCGAGCCTCGCGTTTTAAATTTGAAAATTTAACTGTCTCGAGTGGATAAATATCGTATCACACTCGATGCAGTGGTAGAATCTATATTGATAACATGCATCAATCTTGGTATTAAATAGTAAACAAAACCTTTCAAAGTGAAAAATCGACGCTTTGAGTACACACCCGTGGTTAAATCTGAATATATTGATATGTCAGCTGATCGTCAACGTCATGGATTGTTTGGGCTGTTCCAATCTTACCCCCACATCGTTTGCTTTTAATGAATGAATTACCCGAGGTCAGACGGTGTAAATGATGTCATTGAACGATGACGTCAGAATATAAGCTATCTACGGGAAAATGCACGATTTTGAAACTGAAAGTCGTAAAAACATGAAAACAAAAAACAAACGATGATAAGAATTTGTTGAACGCCTAGGTAGGAGAAACGAATGAGTCAAATTTGATCAATATACAAAGAGGATTTTGAAATATCTCTTCTGACCTTTAATTAATTGGAAATTCGTAAACCACTCTTAAAAAACCAACAAAAATAAAAACATAGTCCATAAACCACAGCACGTTTAAAGTCTTATCATCCTCAAAAAGAACACCGAAAAAATCCGAAGGAGCACTCACGTGCTTCAGAAGGTTCAATAGTTCCTGCTCTTACAGGTACAACCGTATAGATACTTCTTTTTAAAGAACGTCGACCAGTCATATCAATACAAAGCAGGTTGTGAAATATCTCTTTTGACCTTGACACATTGGCAATCCATAACTTGAACCAACCCTTAAACCAGATGAAAGTTTGGAATGAAACACGAGAGAGATAACACAAACATTGAAAATAATATAGCACCAAATACAGCAAAAAAATATTGATGCTGTTAAACCACCGGCTCGTTGGGCGGCCACAACCATGTTTAACCCCGCCACACTCTGTATGTGCCCGTCCCAAGTCAGGAGCCTGTAATTCAGTGATTATCATTTGTTGCTGTATATCATACTCGTTTTTCGTTTGTCATTTTGTAATAATTCAGGCTGTTGATTTTCTCGTTTGAATTGATTTACAATTTGTCATGTCGGGGCCTTTTATAGCTTGCTATACGGTGTAGGTATTGTTGAAGGTCGCACTGGTATATACAATTGCATTTACATTTACGTCTTCTTGATTCTGATGGATAGTTATCTCATTGACTATTATACAACATTTCCTTACTTTTATAGATTCAAAATGATATCTAGATGACTTCTCTTGCCAACAGCCGCTAACAGCCTAAAATTCGATCAGATGTTTTTCTAACGGAAGGATGTTCAAAATTATCTCTGATCTTCATTCGAAGTAAAATGATATTACCAAAATAATTTTCTATTTAGAAAAACCACCAACAAGCTCTGTGGAAGAATCTACTTTTGCTGAGGACTGGCTACAAATGTTGAACAATCCTAAATATCCAGATGTTATTTTTCTGATTGAAGGGGGACAACAAGAATGTAAAGCTCATAGTATAGTTCTTTCCTCGGCGTCAGAATTATTTTGTAGGATAATCAGAGATCAGGTTAGTGCACAAAACGCTGACGCTGTTTACATTATTTGTGATAAGCTAGGTACACATTTTAATGTTTGAAATTGAAGGTATTTACTTAGTAAATGAATCAAAAAGCCCAACAAATACGCAGAAAAATAATTAGACGTAGAGTGTATTTGAAATTTAACATCAAGAATACATATTGACAACATTTCATCATTAACGCAGAAACACTCTGAAGACGGTTTCAATGTCATCAGAATCGGACAATACGCAAGATAAAGTGTCAACAGAATGAGAATAAATAATCTCAAGAAAAAGGATGACTGTTGTATCTGTCAACACCTTTATTTGCATGGTAAAAAATTGTGAAGTGGTTGAAATGATTTTGCAACATAAGAAACTGAGCTATAAGTTTCATTTAAACGTTTAATTATAAATGTGGATACTCTCCTATTGTAACAACTAAACTATTACAGTTGATATACTGAATATATACTAAGTACTATACAATATAGTTATCTTAAGGGTAAGCCATTCATCGAATTTGTTTTCTTTTTGTAAGACATTTTAAAGTAAAAGAATAAACTACCTATTGATTAGTTGTTGCTTGATTAACGTCCAGTGGCAAATATTTCACACACAACTATACATAGGACGACGATAGGTATCTTAACAGTCACATTTTTCAAGAATTGTTGTTATTCATTTGTTTTTGTTTTAAGAAATATTCTGGTTTGGTGGGAACATCGGAAGATACGAGTTCTGATAAAGTAGAAGGCATAGATACAATATGCTGCTCAAAGAACAATGATGGTAGAAATATAATTACAATTGAGATCAATCATACGTTTGAAGTTGTTACATTTAGACAATTGCTAAAATTTTTGTATACAGGTGAGTAATTCATCATGCTCCAGAATTTTAACCAATATGTTTCTTAACCCGACTGAAAACGAGGACGTGCAAAAAATGTATGTTTTCTGATTGGTCGAAATAATGTATTTTTTAATGACTTTTCATCGCAGTTTTGCATGATTATGTATCATAAACTGAGATACAAACACATGTCGTCATGCATACGCAGTACACATCCTATCTTGTGAATTCAAGTCAAGCATACATAGAACTGAATAAACTTTAAAAGCAAGCAATCTTTTGTAGAGGCATTACCTGTCAAATTCATGGTCACCGATTTGATCCAAATTCTCATTTTAATATATAACATATTAAATCGTATATCCCAATTGCAAACAAGTCCCGAAGAAACGACTAACAATTCATGAACTCATTATAATTTTATTTATTAACATATTTATTCGTATTTTCGGCATCTAATTATCCTTCGAGATGACTACCGATGGTCATATAACACAATACACATAAATATGATATATAAATAGACAGACAAGCACGTGCAATCGTATAATGACGATTTATTTAACTGTCTGTTTGATCAAGGAATTGTATATTTAAAGATACAATTCCTTGGTTTGATTTAAAAATATTTGTAAATCATCATTTTACCTGTATAACAATGATTTTTGTGGCCCGAAATGGTTACTCCTGTTGTTTTTCCTTGTTTCACTTTTTAATGATGTCATTTTTCCTTTTTAAAGAATGATCATGCTGATGACATACTTAACACATGCGCAACCCATCTCCACTAAAGTTCAAATTTATGGTTGCATGAATACGGATTGAAATGAGGATGAATCACTAAATTTCAAGCCGATGATAGAGTGGGTGACGCATATTCGCCCCAAAATTCGTTCATTTCCACCTACATCCGACCTACATTCGAATATTTGAAACTTTTTATGTAGGTTTCAGAAATTTACTATATGAATAAAATGTTTGATAAAGGAATTCTCTTCAAAACATTGGTTAAATGTTTTAAAAATGAACACAAACCTAGGAGGAAATCAATTTGTTCTTGTACCATGGGGGACACATTTTCGCCGCAATGTATGATATGACCATCCTCATTATCATTGTATATTATAAAAACAATTGTTTGCAATTACATGAATTAGCTTGAGAGATCATTCCTATACGATTTTTCTAACAAATATTTACTTTATGACTGCGCATGCGTGCCATATAAATCTTACATAATTGCCAAAATTGTTCAAAAACAGGTGCGTATTTCTTTATATGTGCGAATAACATTGGAAATGGGGTAAAGAGGAATATCAACAGTTCGAACATTACAAACAGCGTTTAGCATCTATTTAGGCATGTATTTGGGTAGAGGCACACGAAATTTACAGAAAAAATTGCAAAAACGGCGAAAATGTGTCCACGGCGAATATGCGCCACCCACTCTACATAAGCGATTTTTTTATAAGATTATGTTGTCGAAATATGAACTAAATTGATTGCATATAGTCAAATATTATTTCTTTATCCCGCATTTATAAATGTTTGAAACAAAAACAAAAATAAGTTTTATTTCGTTGTCTTATTCGTAGCTTATCCCGCTTTAAGAAGTTAAGAACTTCCAGACCAGAGTTGGTAAAGATATTTTAAAGTAAAACTGCTTAATTTCAATTCAAACGATTTAAAAAAAATTAAGGTGAACATCCTTAAACAGCAATGATCTTTATTTTAGGTCACCTCGGTATCATCTTTATTTTAGGTCACCCCGGTACCATTCTAGAGACAAACAAAATAGAACAATTGACAGAATTACGAAGAGCAGCGAACACATTTAAACTACCATACCTAAATGATATATGTTACAATATTGAAAATAGTGAAGAGTGTTTGAATCAAAGTATTGGTACATACTTGAACATGGAAACTGGTAAAAAAATGAAGGAATTCTATTTTAATCAAACAACTGACTGTGATGTTAAATTTGAAGTAGAAGGTTGGTTTATAGTATGAGATAATTTGAATTTCATACACAAAAGTACAATAACAAAAATACCGAAAATTCAAAACGGAAAATCCCTTATCAAATGGCAAAATCAAAAGCTCAAACATATCAAACGAATGGATAACAACTGTCATATTCCTGACTTGGTACAGGCAAATATTGTATTGTGATGGGAAGAACAACTTACATGACGGGTGCCACATGTGAAGCAGGATTTGTGTACCCTTCCGGAGCACCTGAGATCAACCCTGGTTTTTGGTGGGGTTCGTGTTGCTCAGTCTTTAGTTTTTTTCTATGTTGTGTTTTGTATATTGTTGTTTATTTTTTGGTCTTTTTCATGGCGTTGTCAATTTATTTCGACTTATTAGTTTGAATGTCCCTTTTGTATCTTTCGCCTCTCTTTTACTATTTAAACTATAGTAAAAGAAAAACAATCAGCTATTTTGCATTTTTTTTAAGGTAGATAAAGAACCATCTTGGCGCGCCAAGACGAGATACTCAACCTTTATATCACCTTCAATAGCAAAATACAGATATAAGCAAAAATAATAAAGCCTTATAGATATATAAGACAAAAGTGAACAAATCGTTGTACTAAAATAACTACAAAAAAGACACACACACACATATACATCCATACTTAAACAATACATTTGTAATGAACTAACAAATATGTTTTTATGTTAGGTGAACATATTACTGCCAGTGCAGTAGTATTGTATAGCAGATGTCCAGTATTTGCTGATATGCTATCGATTGAACCTGAAAGTGAAAAAATCGAATCTTCAGAGGTATGGGGTTTATTTTATTCCATAGATTTTACAAAACTGTTTTTCGTATCTTTCTCGTATTATATTTCTGTATAGACCCTGTGACAACTCTGATTAACTCTTTACGACAGACCATCGGAATCCATAACCTAGGACCATATGTCGATAATACTAAATTAAAAAAGTCATTTTGATGTGTGTCGTTGCCCAAACTTCCTGATTGTATAAATCAGTGTTACTCAGTTTGGATGTATGTCAACACCTTTGCATCACTTATAAGCATATTACAAGTAAAGATAACACAAGGACTAAAACTAAAGATATACAAATTACAACGAACAACAACGAATCTAAATGAATTAAAAAACCAAGAAAGAATTTCAAACAAAAACACACTATTTATTATTTAATGAAAATTAAATTACTTTTAAGACTAGTACGGTTGATTCAGGTACAAATAGAATACTAAGTAAAGCAATTGAACTTGATTCAACTCTTTCAACATTATCAATAAATACATGTTCTTCGCCAGATGGGATTCATTTTTAATTAAAAAAAAACCAATAAGCTTATTCACATGCCCGATTCATTTCATGCATGGCTTTACAATATAACTTTTGGGTTGTGTTCTTTTAAGAGTTTCCCCTTAAACAATAGACTTACAGAAGTAAACAATCGTTAGATCAGTTATCTTAAAGATACATGCATATACATAAACAAATTGATGATCAAATCATTTCCTGGGTATCGAAAAACAACGAACTGAAATGTTCCATGAAGTGCAAACTTTCTATATGCTTGAATGCAGACATTGCTAAAACCACAAAATCAAATACAACATGTATCCACCAAAATAATGTTTTTTTCCCAAATCCACGAAAAATTTATCCACAGAACTTCATGATGACAAATATTGTTATATGTTACAGATACAGCTGCCTAACACCCAACAAGATAGTTTTCTTGCTCTCTTAGAATTCCTTTATACTGACCACGCTCCGATCCATGATGCCAACTGTACTGAACTGCTGCTTACTGCAGATAAATATGGAATATTAAAACTGGTCAACTATTGTGAAATTTATATCATTAATATGTTAGATAAACTGACCAAATCTTCTAGTGAGAATGGGAATGCTGTACAGGATGTTATTGACGCTCTTTTGACAGCTCAGGTAAAATATATAAATATCACTAAAGTAGAGAGGCATGCTGGGTCATCTTCTGCAATATCAAAACGTGTGAAGGTCATTATTGTTTTATAAGCTCTTTCATAAAAATATTAATATTACTAAATAAATATAACACAGAATATCAAAAACATAGAGGTAAAAACCACAAAATCTACACAGTGATTAAGTTTTATTTTCATTTATTATATAGAGGGGTATATTTCATGATCACAATAGTCATTCCTTTGTCACTCACATTAACATTCACTGACAAAGACACTCGAACAAGATTAATTTCTTTTTCATTTAAAGTGTGTCGTATGGACTTGTAAATAGAACACCTGACCAGTTGCTGTTAGAGTCAATTCATTCACCCCTTTATTTACATTGATAATACGTTTGTATACGCCCGTTTACGGGATGTATTATAGTATACCGTTGACCGTCTGTCCGTCCGTTTGTCCGTCCGTCCGTCGTCAACATGTCGGACATTAACTCAAAAACGCTTTAACCAATATGCATGAAACTTTGGTGAATTGTTTATATCTATTGACGTGAGCTCCCTTTCGTTTTTTATAAATTTTGGATTTACCTTTTTCGAGTTTTGGGGTTTTATTCATTAAAAAAGGGGTGGTTTTCCAGTTTGTGGACATTAACTCGAAAACAATTTCACCAATTTGCAAGAAACTTTGGTGAATTGTTTATTTCTATCGACATGAGCTCCCTTTTGATTTTTATAAATTTTAGACCATACGTTTCCGACTTATGGGGTTTTATTCATTACAAAAAGGGGGATTTTCCAGTTTTCGGACAATAACTCAAAAAAGATTTTTTTATGAAACTTTGGTGAATTGTTTACATGTATATCTATTCAGTATTGATGTAAGCTCCCTTTAGAAATTTTAGATCTTACATTTCCGAGTTATGGGGTTTTATTCATTAAAATAGGGGGGATTTTCCAGTTTTTGGACAATATCTCAAAAACGTTTTCACTAATTTGCAAGAAACTTTGGTGAATTGTTTATTTCTATCGACATGAGCTCCCTTTTGATTTTTTTAAAATTTTAGACTATACGTTTCTGATTTATGGGGTTTTATTCATTACAAAAAGGGGAATTTTCCAGTTTTCAGACAATAACTCAAAAATGCTTTCAGGATTTTTTATGAAACTTTGGTAAATTGTTTATATCTATTGTTGTAAGCTCCCTTTTGATTTTTATAAATTTAAGATTTTACGTTTCCGAGTTATAAGATTTTATTCATAAAAAAGGGTTGATTTTCAAGTTTTTGGACAATATCCTTAAAGTGCTTAGAGCAGTTTTCATTAAACGTTGATGACTGATTTATATCTATTAAGATAACCTCCCTTTAGTTTTTTATAATTTTCTGATGTAACATTGAGAAGTTATTGTTTGTCTATAGTCTGACAACAGATTTACTAAGTATTGCGCAACAGCGCAGTGTATTGCACAACAGCAAGAAATCTTTAATTGAATATGAATTCAATTCATATAACCAATTTCAAGTTCTTTGACTACATTTATTCAGAAACCTATAATATGTCAAATATTTAATACAATCCAAATTCAGACCTGTATCAAGCTTGAATATTGTGTCCATTTTTTTCAGGGTTGGACCTCTGCGGGCGTATCCAGCTGCGCTTAGCGAAGCAGTTTATTTGATATTTCCAACAAAATTGTGAAAGCTACTCTTGGTGGTTAACAATTACACAAAGCATTATTGATGATAAATAATGTAGAACGATTATAAAAGTGAGGCGGACATACGAACTCATAAGTCGAAAACAGACTGACAACGCCATGGCAAAAAATGAAAAAGACCATAAGACAAACAACAGTACACAAAACACGACATAGAAAACTAGAGACTAAGCAACACGAACATCACCATAAACTTGACCCTATAGTATGTGCATACAACGTATGCATGTACAATACAATCAGTACAGTATTGCTTTTTTTATGTCTAATTAATTTTACTCAAATAGATTATTTCTTTTCATAGGTTTACAATGCAGAACAGTTGACAAGATGGTGCTTACACACTATTTCAACAAATTATGATAAATTTAATAACACGGAACAGTTTTCTCAACTCAGTGACAAAACCAAGAAACACATTGAAACACATCGCTGGCCACCATTGTCTTATTTACAAGAAATGGAGAAATTTGAACGTCGGAGGACACGAAGAAAATGCTCAATTTTATAAATGATGTGCAATATAAATTGTCAAATCTATTTATGGCGCTATAATTCTGATCAAAATAATAAGTAAATCTATGTATGACTTTATGTATGCCTTATTATTTATATTTTCATTTACTATCTCATAAAAGCCCAAATATCTCTTATTAAAATTAACGTAATTTGATCGTTTTGTTTTAAATTTATTTTTCACTGGACACAATTAATTTGTATGACTTAAAAGATAATGCTATTAATATAAGCGTTCGCAACATTTCTATCTAGAAAAATTCAACTACGCGTAAAGGTTGTTCGAAACCAAAGGTTCGGAGACCGAAATGCACAAAACATTTAGATATTCGAAACCTAAAAGGACTCAACTACACCGTAAGTGTGAATCATGATAGCTAGGTTGTCAAAGGCGAAAACAACACTCAGTAGAAGTTGTTATACATGATAGCCAGTGTTATGAAGCTTTGATTAATTTACACTATATTTCTTATTTAGAAGAATTGCACATAAGTGAATGTAAATGTATGTCATGGACATGTACAGAAGCATTATAAACAAATATCCATTCAAGACATGGATATAGTGTCCAAACAATTATCAATCATGCGTAAAATATGGACATTCAGACTTCGCATAATGAAATCACATAAACTTCCAAAGTTGATAAATTTTTAATACAAAATAAAAATTGCCATATTGTATTTCCAACATAAAAGTAAGTTTTACATATTTAGAAAAAGATGAGATTTCCAGACTTATACGCTTATATTTTAAACCCGAATAATCCAGTCGTTATCTTGCTATATCCGTTTAACTATATACACAAAGATATATGTTTCTGAATAGTTCAAGCTTATGTAGCGCACACTATACCGACTTAAACCTACACAGAAGACGCGTATATCAATTGATACTCATCTTACTTTATTCTGAAGAAAGCAACAAATATTGGATTTTAAATTGCAACATTAAGTGTAGTTTGATGTGAAGCATTTGTGATTACGCCAGTGTCTGATATTTTTACATTTATATGATGTTTTATCTCTTAAAAAAATTGAAAAATTTGTCAATGAAAATTTGAAGAAATTAGCATACTTAACAAAGTACCTAAGCTCTCCAATACGTTTTTGTACGTCTATAACCAAGCACATAAATCCAGGACATTTGATAAAACAGACGCCGTTACTTGTATTTCATTCTCATTCAATCATTCTGGGTTTTCTGGCAAACCCCATTATGACTCCACTTATTACAAACAAAATGGCGGCAATGATGCTTAGTGCAAATGACCAGGAAAGTACATACTGCACGTCACCAACTGGACTGTATGGTAATGGAGCCTTCCCTTGGCTAACAGATGCACCATAAACGATAGCGCCAATAAGAACTAAAACTCCTACAAAATATAATTAAAAATGATAGATCCTATGGTGATATCGTTGTATACATATGATAGAGTAAACGGCAGAATTTCATTGTGCGTATCATTCATTTTTTGACTGTTCAGATGGTGAACATGCAATTAGAAAATGTTTGATTTCTTTGTAAAAAACAATTTGATTGGATAGATCTGTTGGCATAGTTTGTAAGAAACAATTTTATTGGATCGATCTGTTGGTATACTATGTAATGATACATTAAACTGTCAATTTAAGTTTTTTTTTTTGTCTAACAGTTTTGATAAAATTCATTTGCAAAAATAACTGATCTATCGAAACATGCGTCAGTAAAAGTTCATTCCCGGTTTTAAGTGGGGTTCTTGTTGCTATTGCATCTTTTGTTTTCATTGCGGTGCTTTGTAGGCTCGTTTTTTTTCTTTTGGTTTGCTGTTGTCTGTGTTTTCGACGAATGGTATTTGATTGCCCCATTGGTATCTTCTCCTGTTTTTACATTTTCTCATCCACATAAGCAAATCTACTAGAATAAGTACGTGTTATGAATTATTAACATTGTTGTCACGTTAAGAGCCAATGATAAATCAATTTTGGAATGTCTACACTACTTATGTGTGAAAAACAGATGAATATACTTATACATGAACAAAACATCATTAAGATTGGGACGATGTTTGTTTCAGTTTATTATACATGCACTGTTATATGACATTGCTGTGGACTATACAGTTAAACACTAAAATCTATAAGATGCGTATTGCTTGCGTATCCATGGTAAAAAGGGAAAATATGATAATAATTAGGGTCCCGCCGAATGGCGGGCGCCCTATAGTGATCAGTCTGTCCGTCCGTCCGTCCGTAACAAATTGTGTCCGCTCTATATCTAGAGAACCGTTATGATTTCAAAGTTTATACTTGACATGTATATTAACCAACACCAAAGGGTTGGTCATAATGTATGTACAACTTCCTAGGTCAAAGGTCAGGGTCAAAAACTTTGAGTTTAGTTGACAACCCAATGTCCTATGGTAAAGATCGTGTCCGCTCTATATCTTGAGAACCGTTATGATTTCAAAGTTTATACTTGACATGTATATAAACCAACACCAGAGGGTGTGTCATAATTTATGTACAACTTCCTAGGTCAAAGGTCAAGGTCAAAAACTTTGGTTTCAGTTGACAACCCCATGTCCAATGATAAAGATACAAATTATTTACCACACATTATTCACAGTGGGGCCCACAGAGATGGCTCCCATCTCAATGATATCTAGTTATTTCATTGATTTGTCCATTTGGTAGGAACAGGGCTTTTACATTGATACTATACTGATCTCACTATACTATAGAGATGCAGGAACAGGGCTTTTACATTGATACTATACTGATCTCACTATACTATAGAGATGCCTATACATATACAATGTATCTTCAAACATATTAAAAGATGTCACTTTATAAGCGACGCAGTTGTGAAATTTTATAACGAAAATACTTGTACCGCGATTGGATTTAACGTACCGTTTCACGGCGTGGCTACGTATTTATACATCCCGCGCAACCAAACGGCCACCCGACTTTAGCTAGCGTTTCACTGCCGGATGGGAAGAGGTCTGGGAATACAATATTTCTATACCCCAGTCAACTCTTTGGATCTGGTGTTATAAAAAAGACTGAGTCCCGGATATATACTTTAATGTAAAAAACGGCATATTGAGGTCGTGACAATTTGTATGAATCCACATGAAAGAAAAGTATATAATACTAATATATATCAGTAGTTATGTATAGACTAAATAGATTGCTAAACGTCCACTCACTGTGACAATTATTCCAGGTTAACGAAGCTCGAATGTCCTCGAATCATTATACACAAACTATTGCAATTAATGAAATGACTTAACGTCTCTTGGCAAATTACCAAACTACAAATAATGTAATTACAGTATACTATGACGGATAAGACAAACATTACAAAGATCGAACCCGTGTATTTATTGCATTAAGTCTAATCTGAACTCTGAGTAATGTTGATTGTTTAAGTGAATATTATACTTTAGCCCAGAGTCACTTAGTCTTGGTTTCTCCGGTTGAGAGGAATGACAGGTCCTCCTCAAATTAATTGATTGGTGTATCAAATAGACATCCCCGTCTTTCGAAGGACTCCGATTGGGAACATGACCCTCTTCTAGCACGAGAAAAGGTTTTTTCAGCGTCTTTCCTCAAAAGTAGGTCCATTTCTGTAATTTTGCTGAGACTATACCTATCTCTTCATATATTTTTAATGGTACAACATGTAGTCAATATTCGTCCCCCTATTAAATGCATTCAGTCAAACTTACCTGATAGAATAGCACTACTTAAAGCTGAGGATTTGAAAATTCTGTTCCATCTTTCTGAATGGAGAAATGTGAATAGTCCCATAAATACAAGAGCGCCACTCCCGAACATCATCCCTATAACGTTTAATGCCCTCACTGCCACTAGCCATCCTAAAAATGCAAAATAGGGAGCTTTTTAGAATAGCGATGTAATGTATAGTTTATCAATGTATTGTATTTAAACAAGAATAATAAATGCAGTATTAGGTACGATTACATAGAATATATATCATCAAAATCGGAAGGAAAATGTAAATATCCAGGTTTGAAATAGGCTTTGCTGGGAAGAAGGTTCTTTTAACATGTCTTAATCTTTCATATATAAATTAACTCATCATAGATACCCCCGCTCTCCATATATTCATGTTTTTCTTTAAGAAACTGTTCATCATTTTATAGTTTGATATAGAGAACAAACGTGCGACTATATAAGACTTAGTATTTACTGATTGATCTATGATATTTGAACCAAATACAATAGACGTACGCGTGTAGATTTAAGAAACTTATCAGCCATTTTTTGAAAAATATTCAAAAGGCAATGTTTTTCTATAGCAAACTCCAAAACATTCCAATTAAAAGCAACTGCATTAAAATTAGCAATCCGCAATGTAATTATTCATTGACTAATGTGCGACAGTTTAATATAAAGACATGCAGTTTAAATACTTCTTATTGATATGACTGGGATGGACAGACGAGCAGACACCCCTTTCATTTCTTTTCATCTGCTGCCACTTGTAGACGTCAAAAACCTGTCTATATCTATTTATTTCACTCTTAAATACTAACCAGGACTATGCTCACATCTTACAAACAATCCAATAAACTTGGAACAATACTTCCACAAACCATGGGCCTCTGTAATAGTAAGACGTCTTTGTTGAGTGTCCACAGTTAACCAAGTAAACACAGCCCAATAAGTGGTAGTTATCGCCACTAGTTCTACTATCCATCCAAGAAACATAACAACCATTGCCACGGCTCCAACTTTTGACGGACGTTTTGACGGTGATAATCCATATCCATCTTCGGAATGAGGTCCGAATCCGAACCAAATTGGAATGCACATTTTGAATGAATATAATCCACTATAACTATGTATCTACTAAGTACGTAATGACTACAGCTTCAGAAGAAAACTAATTGTATTTTCATGTTTACCATGTTACACAAGTCAAACTGCTGATGAAAGTAAGTTACCTGCAAACATTGAGGCTCTGGACGGGGAAACCGCTGGCAAAATTAACTGTATTCCTTGGAAATCTAAGACGAAGTATTCTCATAAATACTTTACGTTTGTATATGCAGTCTAAAGAATGGAAATATAATAAATCGCATACGATGCTAATAAAATTAATGTACAGTTATTGTCCCCCTTAATTAATCTTTCCATTTCCTCAATCATATAAGAAGTTACTGTCGGGGATAGTTAGTTATACATTGATCATCACATTCCGCCTCAGCTCAAAGGCTTTACATGACAACGTATAGTAGAAAGGTAAAATTATTCTCCGTTACACCCCCGCATACTTACATTCTTAAAGTATGATACAGAATTAAGCGCTCTCTTTAGTTTCCAAAATAGAATCAAATTAACTAAAAATATCTACTGTACTATATAACGATAAATGAATTTTTATTTCTATTGTATAAACATGCAGATTGTATATAAATGTACAGAATACAGGGCATGCATATATATTTTAAACAGAATATTTAAGAATTTTGAGAGGATATTTGTTTCGATACTTCAAATATACTTTCATATAGTTGTTATTGGCTGTTTTCAAATACATATAAATTAATTTCATTTACACATAACATATCGCTTCTTCGAGTAAGTTCTATTGTTAAATTTATTTCAAATTTATAAATATCAAATATAAATTATCAAGTAAGCGTCTTATTTATGATGTCGGTGTCAACCATATTCAAAGTATTTACATATTATTTTATATTAGTATACAATTTATATATGTTTATTAATAAAATAAGATGATTAAAAGATTGCCCGTTTGACATATTAAGTGTTCATCCGTCGATCCATTGTTTTAGTATTGTTCATTTCTAATCATTAAGGAAGACAAATCTTTCTGGTATAATATATATATATGTTGTGTACAAGATGTAATGTTGTACAAATTATAATTTGTACAGATTTTTTGTACAAGTTATCAGTGTTTTATGAACCGCTTAACACAAATGGATGATGCAAGCACACAGTCTTTTGTTTCGCATATTTCTGTCATATTTCCACAACTACATGATACAATCTAATACTGAGCATTGATACAAAAACATTATAAGAACACAAAAAGACTTTTTATGGATATGATTTTGGTATAAGGAGAAAAATAAAATTAGAATTTAAACCATTCATGTATCCTCATTTCCAGTTTGAGGACAAAGAGAATAGCACTAAATGTTAGGTTGAAGTATATAAATTTTAATTTAAGACATTAAACTGATACATTTTAGAAGATAAACTTTTATCACCTGGTGCAAGAAGGTATGTGTCAAAAAACTTATAACTTGTACAAAAACCCTGTACAAATTATAATTTGTACAAACTTACATCTTGTACACAACATATATATATATCATTCTTGAGATTTATGAAAAATTGGATACACCCTTTTGCATTATATTGCTTAGTTTCCGGTCAAATTATACTAATCTAAAATATCAATGTCAAATAAATTTTCATAACTTGTACATGATATAAAACAAATTTGTGTTAGATATTTCAAAGCAAAACATTATGATATGAACACGAATTATTTGAATGAATGTCGATGTCAATATCAGAAATCCATTTTCAGCTGACATGACTCATCAACTGACGTCTGCCGACTTTGTCGTTCATCGTCGGAAATATTTTCAACTCTGCAATCACGGCTTTTTGGCTATTTAACTTCATTGTAGATATTGTCGTGCAAGTAAGGATACAAATCGTCATTTAACGGCAATGAGTCGTATACAAATTCGACTGACGATTTCAGCCATTTTAATTATTTGTAGATCGTGTTTTGTTGATCTTTAATTGTTTGCTTTTTTAAAATTTTCTATATTATAGCTTTCAAGATAGTAGACAAAATTCGAAAAATGGTTAGAATCGTCATTCAAGGGCGACAACTTCTATGGGGATAATTCTGACATTTTTTGTGTAAATAAACAGAATATAGTTCTTAACATGATAAACATTTCTGGCAGTGCCAGGTTAGACTTTCCCTATAACGATTTCAAGATAATAGATAATACTTGCATTCCCCCTCCCAATGTTCTTTTTTTTTTACCATGACGGCCTTGCTGATTGACAGTTGTGATTATCAGACACATCTGTTAAAATAGATACTATGTTGATTGTGGCCAAGTTTGGTTCAAATTGGCCAAGACGTTTGTAAAATTTAAAGCCAGGTGAATTAAAATAAGTCACATGCAAACAACTGTCAACTGACTGTTTATTTGAACGTACTTTTGCAACCAATGAAACTTGTCATGATGATAAAGACGGTGCCAACGATTTCATAGATTTCACCCCTTGTTTTTCTGTTGATAATGATACATGAAAGGTCTTTTTGAAGGCTTGTAGATGTTTTGAAAAAGAACTATATATTTGTAAAAGAACAAGTAACGGAAAGAAGGCAACGAACAATTTACGGTAAGCCCATATGATTATTAATTCCTGTTAATATCTTTTGAATGCATGTTTTGTATAATTGTATAAATACTCAATGCCATGTAAAATAATAGTTTTTACTTCGGCATGTCAGAAATATTAAAAAAACCCGTTTCATATTTAAAAAAGAATAATGAAAAAAGCGGATGGGGGGGTGGGGGGGGGGGGGGGGGGGGTGGTGGGGAGGTCCGTTTTGCAGAAGGTTTTGCATCCATTATCGTTTTTAGTTAATTTTTAAATTTAATGATCCTATAATTTATTGTAGTCTGGGTCAACACTTTTTTATAATCACATACTATGAAATGAATCAGTTTAAGGTTATAAGGAAGTAATCCTTTCTTATTAACGATCCTTGTTAGTGTTGTTAAAACACACGGACCTTGCAGAACACACCTATTGATTTTTAAAAGGGTTATATCAGAACCATATTGGATTTGACATACAGCAAATGTTTATTTTATTATCAAAATCAATCATCATGATCATTGCCAACAACACTGTATGGGACGCAGACCATTTTATTATTGCAGGCTCGCGAATATTATCGGAGGCTGGCCTCATGAATATTAACGTCAGCTGTTATCGCTGGCTAATTTCACACTATACATTTAATAGTTGGATATATCCCCTTGTCACGCCCTTTCTTTTAACTATGACGAATGCATGCTGGTCTCTTTTTTGTCTCATGCAATACCTTTATCTAAATCAAGTAGAAATATAGTTTTGCTAAATTATGACAGTCGCACAAAGAAGGAAGAGTTTAATGAACGTATCCACTAAACCTAAAATATCAGATCGCTTGGTAAGAGATAGTGCTAGACAACATAATAATACAATTTATTCCATATTAGTATTATATTAGTAGGTTTCTCTATATGAATTGGATTTTAAATAAAAAAGCATATTCACCTGGAGAAAAGTGTTATTCACCGCGCTAAACGTCACGCGCTTTTACATGTAACGTTATGGTAAAATGTTTGATGTACAATTGGTAAATATTTGTCATTAAATACATTGTTTTCTCTCGGAATATGGAATAAAACAATTACTGTCTTTTGTTTCGGTAAATATTTGGCTTAATTGACTTTTGAAAAACTGATATTCACTTCGGCCGTCGGCCTCAGTGAATATCATTTTTTCAAAAGTCAATAAAACCGCATATTTACCTCATCAAAAGACAGTAATTGTATAGTATTAATCATTATGATATTATTGTTATTTTTTTTTATTCATTTGTTTATTTTATTTCTGTACTAGTTGTTTTATTTTTTTAATTTTGGACATTATGTTGTATGAAATGTACTTTGCAGTACAGTCACCGATATTAGAATGTGATATGGCATGATATCAAATCAGCCGGTTAATTAGTTGCTTTCAATAACGGCATGACATTTCTTTATACGTTATTGTTAATTATTTTTGTAGCTGTCTTCCTGTTATCTATACCGTTATTATAGAGATAAGTGCCTTTTCTGTACTTTTGGTGTAGAAGACATATTCTATAGTCTCTGTTTTATTCAATACTAGGTATGAATTAAAAATTTTATCCTCTTGGTGTATAAACTTATGTTTTTTGGTGTTGATTGATAGCTTTTTCATTACTGTATACCCCCAAAGGTCCTTTCATTAATATTGCATGTAGAATTTAATAGTATTTCAACTGAATAAGAACTAATAATTTTGCAGCAATTTTCTCAAAATTAATTTTATGCAATGAGTAATGTATATATCATGACAGATAAACGATCTGTAAAAGTTTATGTTACGCCAATGAGCTACGCATGAAACACTTCATTGATGTTATTTCCCTATAGATACATTTAAAGATTGTGGTCTTGTAGCGTTATTTTCAAAAATCTATACTTTTGTATGATTTTATGATTATAAATATGGTTCGTTTAAAACTTTCCGATTGTAATTAATCGAATTTTGTTTTATATATTTTTTGAATGGACACGGTTCGAATGATTGAAGATGCTACATTTAGTGAGTGCTATTTTGAATTAAATGTTTTAATAATAAACCTACCCTTCGTTTTAAATTGCCATTTTCCATAGAAATGGTAATAGGTATCAGACCACCAATTCAAAATCCCTATCTATTCAACCGAATTTTGCAATTTTCATAGCTTTCTAAATATTTTACCTTATTAATAAAGTCATATGATACTTCAAATTTAAAAAAAAAATTGTTGTACATGTTTTATATACTAGAATGGCTAAGTTTTACCTTTAAACAAATTCTTGTAATTTTAAGAAAATTATCTTATCCAAATCTTCAGAAATGTACATAAATGTAAGTGCTATTGAATCATTTTCTCCCCGTACTATAATTCGCCGATATATTTCCGTATGCAGTTACCTTAACTAACAGACCTCTCGTTAGAGCTTCTGCCACCGCACAGCGCAAGTGCTAAGGAAAAAAACGTGATGAAAGAATGTAAAACAAACGTGCACTGGAAGGTAACTAGTTATAATTGATTCTTAAATAACAAACCAAATACACAAAATCATTTAACAACTGTTCAGTAGGGAAAAGTTAAATCAACAAATGGGAACCCATGGAAAATATAAAAAAATATTAACATCGCTCTTTCAATTCACATTTATTTCACGGGCTCTAAGATTCTGTGTTGATAGTTTACTATGGTCACTATCCGGTAAACTTCGGCAATAAACTCGAAAGTGAATTAGCTAGCGATCAACAATCACTGAATGAAATATTAGTTGTCAATAATATGTTATAGTTAAATTCGTAATAAATGTCAAAAACGTGCATAGAGAACTATGTTTAGT